TAGACGCCATGTACCTATACAATGGTTGTAGTGAGAAAAGTTTTTGCATTATTTTAAGATATGCTTTAACCAATTGGATTTATAACTATCCGCTCTAAAGTTAAACGCCCAACTGTCACAATTCTCTTAAGTTTAGACACTAGTGTATATCTGCATCAGTCAGGATAAGTTTAATACGTACATTGCGGGATTTGCAGTTGAAAATATCAATTAGCTGAGTATGAAGTACCCTTTTGATTACTAAGGTTTCCGGAAATTTAAATAGAACGGAAGTTTAATTTGTTCGATAATTACTGTAAATTAAGTAAATATTAGGTCTTTCTCGTGAATATATCCAATGAAGACAGTCAAGTGAGACATTACCTATACATAAACAGCTGTGTATTTTTCAAATTTTTGTCTCATGCTTTATAATACTATATTAAGTTGATGCAAAATTTCCATACTCAACTTTTTGTGAAGTGAACAGCGTTTGCTTATGCAATTGTAAATTTTCACTAATTACCTCTAACTCGGTACTTATAAAAGACACATTTTGTAAAGAAATATTTCAGTATGATAAATCAAAGGTGGCCAACTTCTGCCCACCTTCAGTATTCAGGAATATGCTCGGGAATACTGCATGATTTTAATTCTGTATATTTTAAGGTCGCTTTGTTAACATGAAAGAACACTGAATATGAACACTAAATGAAGGAACACTGACGAAATGCGAGTCACTGACGAAGGGGCCGAAATATCAGACAGTACGCCTGTAGAAATTTAAAATGCTATTTTTGCATACATTTTTCGTTATTGCATTTCTAGCCCTAAAATTTAAAACTTAAAATGCAATCCAAATTTGAAAGAATTGTAGGTCACCCGTTCGAAGTAACAATTCAGAAAATTAATATTTTAATTACTCTGAAGATTTTCAAGAAAGGTTAATATTATCTTAATGCAGTCAAAAGCATTTTGTTAAGATGTCCATAATTGTTGGTATTTATAAAATATGCTTGACTTGCAGCTGACGGCAAAAAAGGAGCGCAGAGTCAGTAGTCCACTAGTTAGTTGTTTGCGAAAAGTATATCCCCTTACTGACATAGACAATTTCTCTTTGTTTTTGCTTTTGAAATTATGACACGAATGAATGTCATAACATAAAACTTTTTAAATTATGACACGAAATTATTCTTATGTGAACAGCGCTGATTCGTATAGGTTGTCTTCTCGTATTGCATACTGTAGTAAGTCTGTAATTAATTAAATATTTGACAGAATTTTATTTCTGCTTTTGAAAAGTTCACGAATATATTTATTAATATATCAAATGTCGCATAATTTTAATCTAAAAATAAATAAATAAATAAATTCTATTGGCTAACGTAGTTATTGAACTTTTGTTAATATATCTGTAGATTCGAATTTATGATACATAAAAATGTACGGTCCTTATCTCAGTCAAATCAGTTTTGAAAAGATTATATTGTTATCATTAAAAGTGTTTAGTCAAAGTATTCATGTTGACAAGTAACTCCGCTTAAACCGCTGACAAGTAACTCCGCCGTGGTTTCTTCACGTATATGCTGTTCTTTCATTTTGATACATTTGTATTGAACGTTAACGATAATACTACAGTCTTACAGAAATTTTAAGAGCTAATGTCATGTTACTGGAAATCATATGATTTCTCAATAATCCTCCGTCTGAACTGCAGCTTATGTTTAACATTTGTTATAAATGATATAAAAATTATATTATAATTATAAATGTTATAAATGATAAATTTTTATATAATTTAATACATTTGTTATTAAATTATAAAAAAATAAAAAAATCTATTGATTTTTTTTAAATATAAAATCTGAAAATGATTTATTACTCTAAAATTATATTAAATATAAAATTATTATTCTAAAATATAAAATCTGAAAATTTCGAGATTTTATATTACTCCCAAAAGAGCGTTTTTTTAACAGTTTTACCTTTATTTATTAAATATCATGTTCTTTGCAATTAAACCACATAAAATTCAATTCAAGAGCAATATCACAAAATATTTAAAAACGACCCTATGTTTCGAATTTCCGATACAGTCTAGAGAGCTGGAGATAAAATGTTTTCCCGTACATTGCTCGCTTTGAAATCGATGAGTTCGTTAATCAAAATTTCGTTAAAGTTTTATCGAATATGAAATAGATAATAAAACAAATTCGAAATTCACAATTCGAGCATCCAGGTGCCCATGTTACGTTGTTCAAAACTTGATGGCTCTAGGTATATCGTTTTTTCACAATGCGAGAAACATACATCCATTCATGCAGCTTCTTCATTATTTACTTTCTTTCAATATAATATAGGGCTATAATATTTGATGGCAACAATTTAAAAAGTTATTCGCCGTTTATAGTGGGACCATTTAGTTACTGCAGAAGATTTAAGAATTTCGCTTTAAGAACGATTGTTTCGAGGCGGGCCTTCTAAGTCTACTCGATTTATTTTCAGGTCCCCCCTGATGACACGAAAGGCTGTTGAGCTAGTCCGCTCAGACATCAAACTTTCAATTAGAGGGAATAAAAATGTTTAATTTTCTTGCTCAGTTACCAGATGATGCGCATTTAATTTATTGAAAATTTAAATGAAATGTTTTTATTATTTCTACAATTTTACTTTATTACTTTAAGGTCAGAAAGGCCCAAAAAAGTATAATGTGGACGTTACATTGGAAAACAAAAATGAGATCCAATTACATTTTCTTAAAACTGCAATTAATAATGCATCATTCAGAAAAATATTGCGTATTTTTAGCCCGTATTTAATGTTCTTTGTTAAATAAATTACTGTAATGCCCACTATGCAAGGAAATTAATGGAAAAATCTTACATCTCAAAATTTTCCAACAAAAACCTGCTTTTAACTATTCCTGATAGGTTTTAATGAGTTTTTCTGTAACACATTTACTGCACTGATGCGCTGGTGCGTCAGAATCGTACCACTTCGTATGCCGGTAGTGCTTTGGAACATCAGTCAGTGTCATAAATTATGTACTTTAGTTTTAGTATTACACTAAAAGTTCAACGACGAAGTTTATTAAGCATAATTTATTTATTTATTTATTTATTACGAGCGGAGTTTTCAAATTTTATGTTTGAAATTTTTTATGAGCGCTTTTAAAATTGGAGGTCAGTACAAATATGACAGGACCTTCACAGCTCAAGAAAAGGAAAATAAATAAAAAATTGACTAATGATGAAATATTAGAATTATTAGAAAACAGTCAACCTTTCTGAACATAACAGCAGAGGCGATGAAGATTACGACTGGGATTCTCTAACTGAATCGGAAGCAGGTACTTGTATTGCAGTGACCACTACAGAGACGTCGAATTCTGAGATCACGTTAACGAAATTTTGATTAACAAACTCAACGCTTTCAAAGCGAACAATGGCAACACTGTACGGAAAACAAGACATTTGTATCTCCAGCGCGCGAGACTGAATCGCAAATTCTAAAGCTTTGCTCATTTTAAAATTATTTTGCTATATTACCGTTGAATTGAATTTTATGATTTAATTCCAAAAAACACGATCTTTAATAAATAAAGGTAACATACAAAACGTTAAAGAAACGCCCCTTTAAGCGTAATGTAAAATCTGAAAGCTTTCAGATTTTTGCTTCAAATAATTCAATTTATTTAAAAATGTAGAGAATTATTTGAAGTAATGTATTTTTCATTTAAAATGTTTTCTGCAAGACTAAATCAGAAGGTAATAACTCACCTCAATAATTACCGACGATCGGAAACAGCACTGTCGATGACTGGAACGCTTATTCAAATGATATGGCCTCGAACTCCTGCAAAATATACGATAAGTCATGATGTAGTAATGCAGTGTTGTTTTCTACACAATGATACTTTGTTTGCGATAAATTTATAATTTTTTTATTGGTTTTATAATTTTCTACCGCACCGATTATATATTTCATATAATTTGATACGTTGTATAATCTTCAGAGTTGAGCATTCGACGTGTACGTTTCATCAAAATTTTGAAACAATGGGAATAATTCATCTGTGCTTGCTATTGTGAAAGCGGTAAAGTCGTTAAACACTGGTAGTTCGGTCCGAGGTTAGAATTTGGCGAGCGGGATGGCTGCACCGGCATTTTCGTGATTTTTCCCATGTGTATACGTGTTTCCTTTAGAAAGTCTTCCACGCAGGCATCCTTCTCCTCAGACAAATAGCTTTAGTGTGCTTTCTCTAAAACACACTAAAGCACATAACCAAAGAAATCAGACTTGAAGAGACTTTCTACATTTTTTCACAAATGGGACTTCATATTGTCCAATTACACATTTTATCTCTTTTAAACCAAATTAATGCCAATATGTTGACAATTAACTTAGAATAATAATAAGACACGCTAGAGCGTCAGACGGATGATAGGCTGAAGTTCATGTGCCACTGATGCTCTAGAAGAGCGTCAAGAAAAATATTATACAAAACATTAAAATTAAAAAAATTACGTTTTTCTGGTTTTACTAATAAAATATAATGAACATTTTTAACAAATGGAACACATTTTTGTAATCCGGCTTCTAAGGATGTAAATAACATTTTCATTGGCAGTAAATATGTTAAATGCCATGAAATGAAAGCAACAAGTCAATAATACTTAATGTTTATATATTTGTACAGCTTTTTTCCAACTGATAGTAATTTCGCAAAGTCTATGCTATAAATCTGTTTTAAATTTTCTTGCATTTATGGATTATAAAACTGTGCAGAGACAATTCAACTAAAGGTTTTCAACTTGTCAAAAATGTGAGGCGCATCTTTTATTCTGAACAGTAAGGAAAGGACGGAGGTGGATATGACATCTCCCACCCCTCTATCAGTTTTCACCTAAAACGGAAACCACTTTTATTGGTTCCCAAATATCGTGAGGAGGGATGGTGGCGCCTCGGTCGGAAACAAGAGCGAAACTCCGATCGGCGGACCCTCAGTCCTCGACCAACTTTCGAGTAGAAGAGCGACACCTCAACTTCTCTCCAACTCCGCTGAATATCCCCATCGAGAAACATGTGTCGAGTGTCCCATAAGAGAGGCGATCGTCGCTTGTCATCGGCTCCAGCGAGCGATGAAAAATCTAAGGTACGGAAAGTTCTATTCTCATTAGAGAATTGTGAGTCTTAGAACTGAATTAGAAATGCTCCATAAAAATGTGGACATAGCTCGTTTTAACAGGTTATCAATATTTGCACTTTTAATCAATAATGAAATATTTTTCAGATATTTTTCTTTCCCCTAAACTGAAATCCATTTCCTGTTTCACGTTTTACGTAAAGCGTGTAACAACATCAATAACACATATTTTCTAAAGCATTAATGTGCGAAGGGTCCGTGGGAAAAATTAATATCATAATTCCTACTAAGTCACAGATTTACAGGGGCTTCGATCAAAATCTTTGATTTGTAAACTATTTACTTGAAAACGTCGCAATATATCTAAATGGTTTAAATATGACAATGGTATGAAGCCTCTAAAATTTACGTCAGGCATTCCGTTTGTCAGATGGTGAAATTGATTTTGATCTCGTGTAACATCCGATAAATTAAGAAATTACATTTGGGATGACTATTTGATTTCATGGCTGTTTGATTGTCGTAAAACCTATATACTGAATATATTTATCCTTAAATAATATTTTCGTGATATTTCTTTAAAATTAATTTTGGCTCTTCCAATGCTGAATAAGATGTTGATTTCCGAAAAGTTACCTCTTAAGAAAGCTCTCTCACTGCTTTACCGCATTCAGTAAAATTTCTGTTACTACCCTGTACTAACACGCAAGTAAATACTAAGTATTTAATACTATTTCAAGTAAAACAGTTTCTAAAGCTGTTTTTATGATTATTATTATTATTATACAATATTTCAGATTTTATTTCGTCATATATTAGGATGAGATGCTCTCTTCAATTTTGTATAATCTGTAATTATTGCCATCATTTGTACATTGGTGTATATATGGCTTCATCTTTTATGCACGGAATAAAATTAGTAAAGAAGCAGGTTACTCTGAATGATAGGGTTCTCAATTTTTGCCCTAAGATAACAAAAATTCGAATATATATTCACGTGAGTTTTTTTTTTTTAGATTATTTCTTCAATGTTTAAAGTAATGAAATAAAGTGTCAAAATGTATTACAACAATATTGCTTTTGCTGTAGTTATCAAGGGAAAAGAAATTAAACGAAGATGTGTAAATTTTATGAACTATTGTTATCTAGAGTTATCTATAGTAAAAATAGAACAAACAGCAAAATTCTTTAATGCTGTTGGTTTTATATAGAAAAGGCATATATACTACAGCTGATAAAATTAATGCGTACACAAATTTTACACGTAATTACTGTTACCCTGAAAACTCTCCAGTTTACTAAGATTTTAGTTGTGAACCTCCAGATACATACAGGGCATCTTAAACAAAAGTTCGTCCGTACCCTTCCCTGATAACAGGAGTGTTGTGCTAAAACTGAGTCTACATATACTTTTATTTGGGGCCATTTATTCTAAATCAGAATAAGAACTTCTTCTAGAGTTATTCTCTTAATAAATAAAAATATCTAAACTGCATGAAAATTTTACATCCAGAAATAAGTATTATTAAACTTTACATTATTTCTCATAAAGGTTATTGTGAATGATTTTTCATTATTTGTTATATAAACTTTTATTTCTTATCACTTGTATTCGCATAATTAAGCTTCATTTCACATAATTTATTTCATTTAATTGAAAAGATATTCAGATATTTCTATTTTCTCATATAATCTGGCATACTTGTGTACTCAGTTGATACGTCGAATCAGTATAAGTAGATCTTATATCGATACTCTTCTTTTATCGGGAACTGAATCAGAAATGTATTCATATATAGATGTAAATGGTCGTATATACGTACGTAAGTATGTGTATATAGACACACGTATACATATATACACATACATTTACTGAATCTGGTTCCGATAACAAAGGAATACCCATTAATCTTACAACAAATCTTACCAAATTCTGTGGATTACGCACATATAAAGGTGCTAGAAAGACAGCATTTAACAGTGTGTGACAATTAAACCCTCCTTTGACACAGATACAAAGAAAACAAGTCAAAATTGCCTAAAAGTACTGATTTCTCAATAATATGCCTGTATTATCATAAGAAAATATTATTTTTAGTATACCAAATTTCATTTATATTACCTATAAAATACGTCAGAACGTTTCAAAGCAATACAGTAATTTTAGCATTATCTATTAAGTATCAAAAGCATCAGAAAAAAGTTAATTTTCTTTCGTTGTCAGGCATACGCTAACCTTAGAAATGTAAACATTAAACTAAATATTCTACTATAAAATTTGTATTTTATATGCTTCAGAACGCAAAGCTTTAAATTATTTAACTAGAACTAACTTCAGATAACATAGAAGAGAAATTGAAATGATTCATTTGATTTGATAAAGATTGTTGAAAGACACGCTCTCTTTTTTTTCTCTATTCTAATGCAAAACTTTTGTCATTACATGTAAGCTCTAATTGATTTATTAAACGTTGAGATGACAAAAACAGAATCGAAACTTAACCTGTGATCCGAATATTTTAGTTTAAGTTTATGTTCAAATATCTGAAAAGATATTTTGCTATGACAAATTTTAAAATATTGAAAATACAAAGAATAAATAAGAATCTATAAAGAATCTCACATTTAAAAGTTCGAGAATTTACGTTAACTGTTCGTTTTTTGAAAGTAAAAAAAAAACATAAGTAGGATCATATCCAAATACTGAAATTGTGTTACTGTTTCGAAATTGCTGACTAAAAAAAAATACATAGACGATTTCAACGCACTTACTGTTAGATTTCTGTTTGCTTGCAATGACGGAATACGTGATAGCATAAATTTTGTATTCGATATTTTATGTAATGTAAAAAGTATATTTCATTACATTAATGTAATGAATTAATTACAGTGTAAAAATTGTAACAAGATATTATTCAGAAATGTGGTTTGTTTTTAAATGATTGCAAAAATGTTTCCTAGACTTCCGTATTTATATTTATAAAATACTCACTCACAGCGTACGCATTTTTATAAGTTGATAAAGGAGTAATTTTAAAATTCAAAAATACGGAAAAAAGGAAAAATCGTATATCTCACGGATTCTTTCATATTTCTGGTCTTTATTTATAATTTGCACGCGTTTATTCACTAGTGAAAGACATAATACATCTTTGGGGTATTCAATGAGAGAAAAATTCACTTCTCTAAGGTATTAATAAATATGAAACAAAATTCTGAAAAATGCTTTAAATCTGAAACAAATTTCTGACAAATGCTTTATTGTTTACAAGCTATGTAATAAAATTGGCACATTAGAGATAACAGGATCTTTACAGCAGCCGTCACTTAAGGAAAAAAAATCTTGGAATAATATCGAGGAGCTTTACCGTCATTACCCTTAAATCTGACGTGTCCTGCTTCAATTAGCAAATGAGAGACGGAAGCACCTGACGACAAATTGCTTGTCGCGTTTGATTGTGCATCACGGTGAGATCAATTAGTCAAAATTTCAATTTACAAGTCTCTTGATTGAACAGAAATTATCCGGAATTAATTAATACCTCCGGATAGCTCGTTTAACGAGTATATCAGCGGAAAGGGGGACTTGTGACTGGCACATAACCGAAAACGAACAGTTTATGAATACAGTAAATGCAAATAAATTGCAAAAAATAAAATCTCACTTCTCAGAAGTCACTAAGACTCACTACTTCACCGAGCTTTTAAGTTCACCGAGCAGTAAAGTCTCTGAACACTTGTAGCTCGGTCTGAGGTCCGAATTTTGCAAACGGGCTGGCAGCATGGGAGTTAACATGGTTTTCCCATGTCTAACATGTATCGAATAAAGTCATTCAATGAAGAATATTCTGTACATAATCGTAGAACAAAAATTGCAGTATAATTCGATGCTGTATACGCCTCTATGACAGAATGGTATATGAACCAGTTTCTAAAAATAAATTCCAATTTTTCTTATGTATGTCCAAAGGATTCAGATTTGCACTGACTATAGTTTTATGTACGAGAGTAGGTAGCATGCTATTACACGTAAAATACACAAAAGAAACTGATGCTAAAAATTTTAAATGTGTGTCAAATCACAATACTTTTGTATCTCTAGGCTGTAAAGGAGGAACAAATTCGTATGCTTCCTCATTCAGCTAAGAAAGCGGGCCCACCAGTGCCAGAGCGGTTGAATCGCTGAACACCGGTAGTTTCGACCTAGGTTTAATTCCAGGCAATCGGAATGGCTGTATGGGCGTTTTCGTGTATACGAGCAAGTTTTCTCTTAGAAAGTTCTCCATCAAGGCATACCTTCCCTTAGGTAGATAGTTCTCGAGCACTTTGCCGAATCAAATAAACCAAACCAATAATACACTAAATAAGGTAAATCATGTTGTAACAAATTCCAGAAAACAAACTGCTTCACAGTGTTTTTTCATAGCTAGCCACAGGAAATTCAAGCAAACTAAAATTACTGAAGCTGCGTATTTCAGATCGAAATGGTTAATGCAGTAAGGAAATATTTTTAAATAGCAAGTGCAAAACAGAAAGTTTTGATAATTCTAGTATTACCTTGATATGTTCGTTTTAATGAATTCTCAAATGGGTAAGGAAAGAAGATTAAGAAAGAGAAATTACTGAGGTACGAAGCATGCTACTCAAAACTCGGTTTTTCATTTTCATCTAGCATGCAAAACTTTATTTGAAATGAAATATTATGATACCAAAAACTAATATTTAAAAAAGTAAAAGCGAGCGTTGAGACATCGAATCTCTGTTGTTAAGCTAAATGCAAACAGTTCTTATGCCGAAGGATATATTGCATCGCATTAATAACATATTTATCATCCATGATAATGGAGTAAATGGTTGAAAAAATATCCGTTAGATATATTAAATGTCTAATAAAATATGTGTAATAAAAATTGGCATTGGATTGGAAATTGCGGTGACGACATCGTTCGTCTTCCTTATTTTCTGCTTCGAAAACCTACGTTTTAGGCATTCCTAAAACATGTTTTAGC